GAAAACTGTATAAATTCAGTTATATACATTTTTAGAGAGACTAATGAGTATTTTCAAATAATATGCTTTTATAGTCTACATTTAAAAGGAGCTATTTGATTTATTTTAATATTTTGATCTTTTCCAATGACCAAAACGTCATAACTCAAGAGTCTAGTTGGTACCTTGATGCTTTGGAAATCTTATGTCTGAAAACTAAAATTAAAAATGAGGGAAATAACATTTTAAAACAGAAATAAAGAAAACATAATTTATATTATTTTTCCCTAGGGAATGCAATTTACCATGATTTAAAGCAGAATCAAAGATGATTATCTTCTGGCACTAATTTTAATATGCTCAATAAAACAAAAATTATCAGCCCTGAAGAAAGCAGAGAAGCGTCCCCACCGAGGGCCCCATGAAACCGCGGACCCTCGCGAGCACCCAGGGCGTCTGCTGGGTGGAAAGCAGAGCCGCTCGGATGGTCTGGCAGGAAGAAATATTTTTCTCCCGAGCGGGGGAGGCTTTCAGAGATGACGGAACCGGGCCTCGGTGTATTTCTCAGCTCACAGGCAAAACTTAAAAGGGCAGTAAATGGAAGGGCCGGTCACCGGGCTCATCGGAGCGTGGCTGGGGTGGTCCGCGTGTGTCCCCAGGGAGGCCTCTGAAGGGTGGCCTCCTTGGCCCCGCATCAGATGTCGGCGGAGCCAGGGGCAGAGAGAACGCGGACTCGCTCCACCAGCAACGTCAGACCAGAGGTGAGGACCGCCACGAAGTGCCCACGCCTCGACGGCAGCGTGGTCTGCAAAGCCTCCTTCTCTCCGAAGAGACCCGGAGAGCCTGCGGTGCTGGGCCACGCAGACCAGCCCCCCACCCCCACCCCAGGCTCGACGAGCCCCTTGTCGGCACCCCCTCTTGGCTGGCCAGGGCTGTGACAGCCCGGGGTCGAAGGCGCCGTGCCCTTGGGAGGGGTGACAGCGCAGGTATGCACGTGCGGGGAGGAGAAACCTCAGCTGTTAAACCCACCGACCGTGACGGCCGCGAGGGGTGAGGGCGTCCCGCACGGCAGCGATTGTCACCGGAACGGTACTGCACACGGCACACGGACACCCGCCCCCTCCCCCCGCAGATCATCAAAGCTGACATTCCGGGGGCAGCAGTGGGGATGTCGGCGTGTCCTCGACACAGCGAAGTGACGGTACTCGGCTTCGGCTTCGCCAGAGCAAGCGCACGCAGCGCCCTGACCGCCAGGCGGTGACCGCGGCCGGCCCGTGTCCCACCACACACTCCTCGTGGCGTCACACACTCCGGAACAGAGCGGTGCCCACACTGGGGAGCAAAGCACTTAGCTCAAAAATGGGGGGCCAAGCAGACAGGCAGCCGAGCTCCCTTGGCTCCCTCCTGACCCAGATAAGCAGTCGCCTAAGTACAGACACGTTTCACAGAAGCTTCCTGGTCCCGGCCCCTGTCTCTTGCTCCCTTTAGATTCGATGCAGTGCCAGGTGTCACACTAGATCCTGATTAACTGACGGAGACGGACACAAGTGTTCGGGCATGAATTTAAGATGTCTGTGTATTCAGAGAAAAAAAACACAATGGCGGTGATCTGGTCCTCAGGTTTGATAAAACATCACAGCACCTGAGAATACTGACGGTCATCTGTTTCTCGTTTTTTAATAAAAGATAACGGAGTCCGGAAAAGAATCGCGTAGACATGAATGTGAACACAATTATTTACGAATTATTTTTTAATTAATCCATCCCATCGAATAATCTCTCCACCAGAGTTTTGCAAGGCCGGCCTTTCATTAACGACACTCCCTCTCGTCCTCCAGGAGTCCTCCTCACTGTAAGTCACATTGTCATCGTGATGGCAAGTGGAACCTGTAACGAGGCTGCTCCATGAGCCTCGGTGCCTCCCTGCCCCACAGGCGAGGTCCCCTCTGCTCCCTGAGAAGTGTCAGAGCCTTATACGTTTACTCTATAAAATGTGCTTTTAATTTCTCTAGGGTTGTCAAACCCTGAGTACACTGGGGTTTGTCGTTCGTGAATGGCACTTGCTATTTTGTGGTGATCGAACAGCTGGTTCAACTAACAAAAATTTACGCTCTCCCTTTTAATATTCTGCATTGATTTTACAAGAAGTCGGGCAGAAGTCCAGCAAGCGGTGGCGTGGAACAGGAAATGCGCATCATTTTCTAAACCCACGGAAGAATTTTATGTAAGTAAAAGACGGTGTGTCACAAAACCTCTCATGCGGTCAGGTGTTGTCATCAATTTTATATCTTCTATGCATAGAATAATAAACCGAATAAAATGATCCAAGAAAGTAAAAAAGTAAATCAACATTCAATTATGTTGATGGGAAAAACTGAGTAATGCACCCTTAGGTAAAATGCAATTTCAGGTCTTACCCATTTATTCAATGTACATTGGTTCACATAATGAAAATGATGTTTTTCTCGCTTAGTGAACCAACGGAATATTTATGTTTATATTGAATTTCAATTAATAAAAGTCCAGCGGTCAAACTGTAACGGTACTTAGATTAGCTCCCCTTTCTAGCTATTCGCTATTTTTTTTTTCATTTACTTTGTTTTACGGGAAAAAAAGCAACGATACCATCGAAGTGCCCATGTTGCATACGATGGTAAAACTCTTTAATACACATTTTTACCACCTACTATGTGTAACTTTTCATAGACTAGGAGTGCTTTATTCTCCTTTGCAAGGACAGTCTCCCTTCTAAAAACGACTACTAGCATCTGCTCCGAAACGTATTAGACCACACGTGCACAGTAGGCGCTCATCACGCCGGGCGGACGTATCCTATGTACTTGTAACATAAGCAACGCTATCTATGTTAGTAAACTCGTGGGGAAAACACAGACCTTTCAACTGACGTAAAGCGACATCAGAGGAAAGCGATACATCCTTAGCTCGGCGTCTCCTGTGGAAGCACATGGAGGGCAGTCGGCCTCCCGCATCCGTGGGCTTCGTTCTGAGGTGTCACCCACCGCGGGCCGAAAGCAACCTGAGGCCCCGGGCTGGGAGTCTGCGGCGCGAAGGGCCGGCCGCGTGCGTTGCCCTGTGCCGTGTCACCTAACGGACCTGGGGTTCAGGGGGTTCAGCGGGTCCTGGAAGCGACGCCCTCCAGAGACCGACAGCACTGGCAAACAGGGCGCATTTTTAAAAATACGGAATAGTAAACAAGTCGAAATATTTACGTTTGTTAAACGTGTCTACATCTACCAAATATTATTAGTAAAAGTATCTTTAAAAATAAGACTTAAATACAAATGAAACTCTTCAGACATCGGAATCTTAATGACAACAGTGGTCGTGATGTAAACCCGTGACTGCCATTTCATTGTTAACAAGTTCAATACTATTTTTCTTATCCTAAGATACCTACATCTGACTCTTTCTGACCGTCAGAAAGCCTAGATCTGACTCTTTCTGACCGTCAGAAAACACACGTATCTGGACAACTGGTGTTGAACACAGATGTGATCAGGTCGATTCACGCCCCATGTTTATGAATCAACTCAATGCCCTACTTGCTGGAGCTGATTTAATCAAATTAGAGCGTAGGGTCAATTATGTAACCTGGGATTTCCTGAAACGTTATTGTCGGTGCCGCAAAATACCTAAAGCCTGTGCTCTTTTTATTGGTTAATTATACGTGACAGGTCGGTCACTCGAGGCCAGGAAATCTGGTAACAGCAAGTGACAGCTAAAACACGAACGTTTGTTTTGTGAGTGTATGTGGAGCTTACGGTCAAAACCTAACAGCTTCCTACTGACAAAGTTGCCTTTAGAACAACACACATATCCGGTGACCCTACTCACAATAATTTTATGTTTGTTTCTCAAAATAAGTTGAGGAGTCGCCGTGGTATCTCCTGCAGCAGCTTTCAAAGGCCACCAGTAAATCTGAAACGTACAACGTTTTAACTAATTTCGCAGCACTCATCCATATGACGCACAAACAGGACAAATAAGGTAACTCTGGAGAACACGGTGACGGGACTGAACAAAACTAACTCGGTTTCTAAAGTCCCTAAGAGCAGCATATCTTTAGGCAATAGGCGAACGCACCCGTAACGGCCATTTCTGAGAGATCGCGCATCCTGTGAATCGGGTTTGAATTTCCCTGCCAGGTGTACAGTGCACCTGGTGGTCTGGCCTTCGGACTCTCGCTGTCTCGGCCCAGCAGAGCAGCGTCCAGACCCGGGCCTTGCCCCCCCAGCCCTTTCAGGGTGTGTGAGGGGGTTTGGGGAAGCTCGGACTACTGCTGGCGCCCAGGCCTCCCATAACCCTTTACCTGTTTAAGTCATGGATGTGAAAAATGGCCTTGAAAGGGACACATGGCCGCAGGTGACCAGCCGAGGCTACGGCTACCCCTGTGCGTGGTCACCTGCAGCCCCCGCTCCAGGCCCACCTCGGGCAGCCAGGCCGGTGCCCGGTCTGTGCTCCGTCAGCAGCTGAGAACTCGGACCTGGAGCGGCCGCCGTCTCTCAGCGAGGACCATGGCGACCGGCCCTGAAGAGGCCAGAGCGGGCGCACGTGGGCCAGCCGCGAGCGAGAACTCGACTCCACACGGAGTCGGTTTCCACGAAAACGCGAAGCCCCCGCCAGACACGCGGCCACCGCCACCCACCGCGGGACGTCCAAACAAGGAGTTCGACAAACGCTGCTTCGCAGCACAGCCGTCCACGGCGTTTCGAGGGGTTTGAAGTAAATTAACCAAGTGTTTTGACATCTCTGAAATGAGGTCGAAAGCAAATACTTATTATCAAATATTTTTATATCCAAGACGACAGTTTACTCGGTGTATATAGAGAAACATTTTAAAGAACTTAGAAGATTTAATAAAAATACCAAAATTTGAACTGTATTTTGCCGGTCAAGTCATAAAAATTATTTGCCTGACTCACTGGCCACCAAGGAAAAAGACGCATTATACACTTAACCTGAAGAAAACAAACAAACAAACCGTGAGCAGGGCCTTTTACCTGAATTCTTATTGGTTTTGTTCTGCCGACTTTTAACTTGTTCGGTCCAAAGCGTAGGGTAACGTGATGCAATATCTAACAAACCAAAATAAAAGGGTGATTATTTGTAATTCCTCATGAAAACGCAAAGTCTCTCAATTACAAATTTCAGCAGGCAGCCTAATAGCCAAAAAAAAAAAAAAAGAAAAATCAATGTAATGAATACACATCACACAATTTACCAAAAACAATTTTGTGCATGAGACAATAGAAAACAGTATTCACTTAAAAAAAATTTAGCACATTTTTTTCATCCAAAAGTATAACCAAAAGTTAAATGACTCCAAAAAATAAATAAAAAGAAGTCATGTGAGTCCAGACAGGCTCCACCTGGCGGAAGCAAGTTTGGGAAAAAGCCCCACGTCCAGAAACACTGTGCTCGAGGCGGGTGTTCGTGTCACACGCGGGGTTTCCGCTCGGGTGCAAGGTCATCACCAAGTGTGACGCGTACGACACGGTTTCGCGTGGAACCTTCGGGACTGCGTCTTGTGGGTGATCCCGTTTAACAACTATAACGGGACGGTCACGGTGCGGCCGGTCACACAACCGCCCCGCCCTTCACCGGCCTCCGGCCTCGGCCCAGCAGGTGGCGCCGCCTGCGAAGCGGATTCCGAGGACCCAGCGAGCCCCGTGCAGGGCACACCGCGTGGCCCTCGTCGCCATGCCGACGCGTGCCGTCGTCGGTAATTACTATTTGCGAAGCACGGTGTAATTCCACCTTTCGATCTCAAATTTATTTATTGTGTGCATTCCTTATATTTTTGTCTTCAAACCCTGATCCCTTTCGACCCCCAGATTTGTGATACACGGGCAAACGCCTGAGACGATCTATCAAAGGCTAAGTGTACGAAATCCCCCTTGTCCTGACTACAAAATCAATAAACCTTTTGTCCGTGTGACTTTCCAAAGCTTGTCCCACGCACCACTCTGTGGTAGACACACGATGTGAGACGTGTGGCGTTGTACTCTTTTGAAATACATATTTTACACTATCCGCATCGTAAAATGCCCGTCCACAGATTCTGATTCCAAAAACCACCGTCGTGCTCTGCTATCTGTGAGCCCGCGGCAACGTCCCGGAGCCACCGGGAAAGACGGGGGGCTGGCAAACCCGGAAATGGCCGCGAGGGGACGTGCCCGGCTACCCAGGTCCAGGACCCCCACACCCTGCCCCCCGCACACCCCGTTTCACCCGGCCCTCACCTTCTTCATCGCCTTGGGGCTGAGTCTCCAACGCAGGAGCTGAGGCATCATCTGAATTCAGAACGGAAAAGATTTGCAAGGAGACTACAATTATGAGAGTAAGTTAAGTAAGTGTGCATACGGGTGAGGCGAAGGATCTGCAAACAGCCCCCACGGTTAATGCAAACAGCCACCCGGACCCGCGCGAGGGGACGCCCAGCCCGAGGCCAGGCCGAAAGCCACGCCGACGCCTCGGCGCCCGCGGGTTCAACGCCCCGCCCCGGGCTCTGAACGGCTCCGGGAAGGAGGCGTTAGGCGGTGTGAGCGAGGGGTCTCCCAGCTCGGGGGTCGGTGAGTCCGGGGCACTCGCTGTTCTAAGGAGAGAGGCTGATGGGGACTGGGAGAGGGGACCGTGACACCCCGGACGTCCCCACTTCCGAGTGGGAAGCAGGGGTCGCACTGTGGCTCTGTGCACCTCCACGCCCCTGAGGTCCCCCTGAGGCCCCCTCCACTTCTGTGACACACGAGGGCTGAGGGGCGGGGACGGGGGACCAGAGTGAAGGAAATCGGGGACCGGAGGGAAGGAGCATGGTTACGGAAGAGCTCCGGGCCGCTTCGCTGAAGACGGAGTCTCCAGATGGGTAATCTTTATTTAATTTGTTGAAAACACTCTGGGTTCCCTGGTGAATAAAGCGTGAGGTGCAGAGGGTCCTGACCCACAGTGGGGTGACGTGGCAGATGAGCTTCTGGGTCCTGCCAATGCTATGTGGCCCCTGCCAGGGACGCCGTTACATGGCACTTCGTGGGGGCTCCGAGACCCGGCCACCCACGCAGTTTCAATGTACAATAATTTCAGGATCAAAATACGGTAAGCGATGGCAGAGATAAGGACCCGCCACACAGCTTATCACGATTCGACTTCCCCAGGCGTCGGAAGAACAAAAATGAAGTTTCTCGAAAGCTCTCTTCGGGGGCGGGGGAGACCAAAACTAAGTTTTAAAAAAAATCTTTAACATTGAACAATCTCCTAACAACAGTTTGCTATTTGTCAAAATCCTGATGAAACGTAACATCATTTATTCGAAGTACCCCAGCCTAATACTGACAGGAACCCCGACCCGGCCGTCTGACTATTGAGTGTTCTGTAATCTTCTTCCAAGACTGGAATGAACTGAGAGCGTCTTTAAAGCATCTTCAACGGTCGTAAAAGAATCTACTGAGAAAGTCTTGGAGCGTTCGAGGCCTTTTTAAACGACAACCATCAACGACAGCGTCCGAGTTGTGTACTCCTACTGAGGCCGCAGCAGCTGGCCGGTCGGGGGCCACCGGCCTGTTCCCGAAGTCTGCGTGCCCCGCTGAGCCAGCCAAGTGAGCGAGGCCGAGAGGGCCCGGATGAGGGACGGGCCCAGCCGTGCGCCTGCCCTCCTGCCCCGACCCGGCACCACAGGCCGCTCCGTCCTCTGCCTCCGGCCACCTGCTTGCCTCGGCCTGGCTTTCACAGGCCACTCCAAGGCCTGGTCCCTCTGGTGTTCTGATCCAATGCCATAAACCCACTGGCACCCACTGAACTCCGCCCCAAGGAAATAACTAACGGCTGGGAGAGCTCCCCGGATCCCCTCCGCCCGGCTTGCTATCCGCCTCGCCTGGGGCGCAGCCAGCTCTGCTGCACGGTCGCAGGTGTCCCCTCTGACATGCAGGCCGTAGGTCATCTCTGTGCCACACACCCTTTCCAGGGATTTTTCTGTCTTTGTTTTGTTCTTGACGGTGGATGTGACAGGCGCACAGGCACGAGGTTACAGAGTCCCCCCGAGACAGTATTTCCTTCTGTCCCCTCCCTTCCGGCATCTGTTTTTTCGAATCACGAACGTGGTGACTTCCTCTTCTCTACATAATGACATCATGCCCACCCCAGAGATCTCACAGGACAGGCAAACACGTCTCCGTCCCTCCCATGTAAAGCCTGTCCCAGGCCAGCGCCCTGACCGTGCCGGCCGCTCAGCGCCTGGCCTTCCACGCCGAGAGCAGGCAGCTTCCCCCGGCCGCCGGCTTCTCCTGTGCCTCCCTGCGTCGGCCTCGACCCGACGCCCCGTCCACTGCAACGCCTCCTCCGTGAAGCCCTCCCGTCGAGGCTGCCTCCTCCGACCCTCACTGAGTGTCCTCACAGGCTGACAGTTGCTCACGGGTCGATCTGTGCATTTGTCCTAGTACTACCCAGAGACTCCACGGCCTGCCCAGGGCAGGGACAGAGCCACCAGGGTCTCAGCAGACACCTAAGGGAATGGGCTTGAATGTGACTCAGGTCCCCTCGGGTTTGTGTCATTTTTCATTATCACTGGCGTACTTGCTACTGCCTACGTCAGACAAAGAAAGTACCTTAAAGGTTGACATAAGATAAAGGGAGAAAATGTGTCAGCGGGTCTGGTGGGTGACAGGGGAGGAAAGGGCCGGACAAGGTGGGACTCACGGCCGGCGACAGTGGACGTGCAGCCGCCCGTGGGAGACGAGCCCGGACGCTAGAGCAGGGCCAGGAGGCAGGGGCTGCCGGTTCCGCCTGGTTCCTGCTGGTACCGGTCCCAGAGGAGGCGGCTGTCCTGGGGGGACATAGTGTTCTCTCCCGCAAGGAGGAGGCGCTCACCTCTATCAGTGGCCCTCAGTGACTGCTATGCTTTAGAATCACGGGGACCACCGCCCAGGTGCGGGACCCGGGTCCTCTCTGCAGGTCCGGGCTCTGGGGCGGGGACGGGGGGCGGGGGGCTAACCACATTTGCAGGCACCCCAGCGTGAGCCAACACCGGGCTCGCCGGACCTGGCCTGTGTTGGAGCCGGGTGAGGCTACGGGCGGAGTTAACGTTTGTTGAGTGACTGAGTAATTAGCAAACTGCTTCAGCTCTCGTTATCATACCCAACCTGTACCTGTTTAAATTTGTACTCGAGAAGTCACTTTCAGGCCTACATCAGGTAAGATGTCATATTCATCGATGGAAACTCGTTTTAGGGTAGTTACCTGTTCTTCCTGTGCCTTCTCGTTGGGGGAGCTTTTCACCGATGGAACCTAAAAGGGGAAAAAAGAAAGAAATTACTTTGGCTCTCGACTGGTCGTCAATAATCGTTACGCGAATATTTTATTCCATTCTGATCAATTCGCGGCGCTTGGTCACTTTCTAGTGACATTACACAAGCCGTCTGGGGCCCGAGGGGGCATGGCCATCCGCACTCAGGCTCCGCTGCTGGATGTGCAGCGATCCCCTAACCCACGACCCTTTGGAAAAGTGTCAGAAGCACCTTCTCAGCACGCACACTGTGCTGGGGTGGTAAGACGAATCAGATTAAACAATGTTTCGTTCTTTTTTAAATAATAAAAAATTATACAATCAAAGGTAAATAAAAATCCAGTTTCAGCTGGATGCTGATTTATAGAAAAGGCAGCCGAGGAGAGAATGGGAAACACACTAAGGCTGACCGAGTAACTCGTGGCAAAATTTCATAGCATTTACACTAAAAAGGTTTATATTACAAATACGAAGTGTGTTCTTTCTTCCCCATTACACTGAAACTGCTAAAGGCACCCATACTTTTCCTCACCATCATTACAAATACTCAAAGAAATATGAAAAAACACATCTGTTCACAATGACTTTGCAGTGTATCTGCCTGTTGCGTTCAGAACGCCCCGGCCAGGGTCAGACGCTGGGTCGCGCTTCTTGGCAAGGCTTCTCATGAAATAGACCTTGAAGCTCATCGTTTGCTCAGTTTTGAGCGTGACACTGGAAACAGAGCGACGCTTGTCCTGAAGAGAGAAACTCCGCGACACCTCGAGACCGTCCGCCCGCTTGGCGGCGCCGCGCTGGGAGTCGCGCGGCCCGTCCGTCCCTTGCGGAGAAGACCCTCAGAGGAGAGGGGGGGAAGAGGGACTTGCTGGCCACCCCCGCTGCCCAGGGCTGGGGCTTCTCACACCCTCCTCCAGCCCGAGGCCGCCGCGACCTAGCGCGAGGCGACCCAGGAGCCCGGAGCTGGGCGGAGACGCGCCCCTGCCTCCCGCCTCCGCGGCCTGCCCGCGAAATGCGGGGAGGACGCGCCTCGGAACCGCGGCTCGCCAGCGGACAGGGGGACCACGGCCCCCCGCTCTGCCTCTTGGCTGCACGTTCCAGGCGCTCGGTGAGGCCGCGGGTTGCCCCCAGCTGCTGCTGCTACCGCTGGATGGAACGTTCCGTGGCCTTCGGGAGTCACAGCGCAGGACTCCATCCTGGTCCGCGCCTCCCCTCCCGTGTGGCCCCTCACAAAGCGCTCGGGATCCCACGTTCCTTGTTTCGGCCCCTGAACCACCTCTTTACAAATCCAGACTTCTTAAGAGCTTAAGATTCTTAGTCATCGGTTTATTTTTATCACGTGTTTCTGCAATGAGTCAAAAAAAATGTTTTTCACTTCTGGCTGGGGACTGTGAGAGTTTGGCAATATTTCTGAACAGAACTACATAGGTTTTAATATTCTGAGCTAAATGTAAATGCCCTAAACAACAATCGGCTGCCCCACAAGAGCTGCTGGACCGAACGGGCACTATATTTGTGGACTGAGGACCGAAGAGCCCGAACTGCCGGTTCACCATTTGATTAGAAGCTGAGAGCCAGAGACGGCGTTGAGAAATTTCCTTTTCTCTCTGAATCAACCAAACTTCCGGCTTGTTCACCAGCCCCCTCCATTCAACCAGCACTTACTCGAATAAATCCACACAAAAAATCACTCCATCTTCTTCTTCATATGTAAGAAATAACCGTAAACCGGATCCACGCGTCCCTGGAGAGCTAGGTCCGTGAGCGGTCCCTCCAGCTGCCTCTGAACAAGGAGACGCCCCCAGACTTCCTGCCCGGCCTCCTGCAGCACCCCGTCCCCAGGGACGCGGGCCGGCCGGACCTCGCTCTGCTCGTGGAAAGGCATGACGAGGTGGGATCCGGGGACCCGGAGCGGAAAGGCAACGCGTCGTCTTTGATTACTTTTTTCTGGAGATAACGATTTGCTGAAGCCCCGCTTCCCACCAGGAGTTTGGATCAGGATTCTAGGACGTCAGTGTGGAAAGGGGGCCCGGAAATCGGGGGTCGGGGGACAGCAAAGAGCTGTGTGAACTCAGGCTGGCGGGCTGCACCCCAGGACCCGAGCTCTGCCCTCAGACCCGACTTCAAAGGCCGCCGGGTCCCTGCACGAGGGAGATCCGGGTCCGTTTCAAGCCGCTTTACAAGGGTGGCCTTGTCAGCACTAGGGGCAGAGGGAGGGGGCCGCAGAAGCGCATGTGAGGACCCCTGTGGTTTAGGGAGGAGCGACAAGCTCAGGCGGTGGCTCCGAGCGCTTGGTGCCCATCCGGCGCCCCTGGGCCCGCGGGAGGGCGCGAGGCTCAGCCAGCACTCGGCGCCCTGCGGCAGCCCCTTCGCAAGGTCTAAACGCGCTCGGCGCACGTGAGGACAGGGAGGCCCCGCCTGCCAGAGGACGGCGACAGGGCCGAGGGGGTCGCGGGAGGTCACCCAGCACCCAGAGCCCGCGGCCCCTCGGCGGGAGCCCGGCCAGGGCTTCCTCCGTCCGGAAGCCTCACGGCCAACGTCACGAAGGCAGAGGGAGGGCAGGGACGGGGAAGGCAGGATGGGGACGTAGAGGCCGCGCTTCCGTGACCTCCGGGCCCGCGTTCCTTTGCTGTGACCGCGTGTCCCCATGTGGGCACAGGCGCTGGGAGCAGAGGTCCCACCAGCCCTGCACATGCATCTCGGTCCCTCGTCCCTCGGGGCCGTCATCGTGCTGGCTCCGTCCAGGCCTTTCCCAGGAGCCACCCGGCTGCCTCCAGTCCCCTGCTCCGTCCTGTTGACGGGACGCTGCGGTGACACGTGGGACTGCGTGCGCACCGGAAGGCGTGCAGGGCAGGAAGACAGCAGACGTGGGCGACGGGACAGACTTCACCACCCGCTGGACCCGCCCCGGCTTCCTGTCCGGCAGGCCGGGCAGCGCAGGGGGTGCCGCCCCCGGGGCGACGGGAGCTGGCCGACAGACGAGCACGGCGGCGGCTCCCAGCCAAGGCTCGCTCAGCGCGTTCCCGGACACCCGGGCGCCGTCACACGGGACACGCGCGGCCTCTCGTCCCACGTGCGTAGTGTGCGTGCCGGGAGGTGACAGCCCACTCGCAACAGAGACCCACGCTCTACCCAGAGCAGCCGGACCTGGCCACTGGCAGAGCACTGAGCGGCCCACGTGGCCTCGGCCTCTCTCTGTGACCATCCCGCCCGTCCACTCGCTCGTCACATCCCTACGCGCAGCAGGGGACACGGCACTAAAGTTACGTCTCCTCTGGGGACACAGGCGTTAGACAGAACCGGAAACACAGCTGTCTACACTCTGGTCACTCTCGTGTGGGTCATCGTCCTAAGCGCTTCACCTACATCAAGTCATTTAATGCTGACCCAACCCCACGAAGCAGGCACTTCACTTATTACGCCCATTATACAGATGGGAAACTGAGGCCCAGAGGGGTAAGTCACCGGCCCCAGGTCACTTAGCCAGCAAGTGGCAGAGACACGCAAGGCAGCCAGCTCCACCGGAGCAGCCGGGCAGGTCCCCCGAGGAAGACGGAGGGGGCGGGGTGCCTGGCAGAGAGGCCGCGGTGGGAAGGGGCACGGTGCGTCCAAGAGCACGGCCACCCGGGCCCCTCCGGCTGCAGGAGTGCGCCCCGCCAGCTCCCATCCACGCAGCGCGTGCTCGCCCTCTGCTCACGGGTCGTCCACGCCACTGAGTGCACACCCTCTGCTCACGGGTCATCCACGCACCGCGTGCTCGCCCTCTGCTCACGGGTCATCCACGCACTGAGTGCACGCCCTCTGCTCACGGGTCATCCACGCAGCGCGTGCTCGCCCTCTGCTCACGGGTCATCCACGCACCGCGTGCTCGCCCTCTGCTCACGGGTCATCCACGCACTGCGTGCTCGCCCTCTGCTCACGGGTCATCCACGCACTGCGTGCTCGCCCTCTGCTCATGGGTCATCCACGCAGCGCGTGCTCGCCCTCTGCTCACGGGTCACATCTCCCGTCATCTCGGCCTCCGCAGAGCCGACAGCGGTGACCATGTGCAGAGCCCACGAACGCCGAAGCGTAACCGGTGACGGCTCGTGAGACGCTGGCCGGTTTCAGACACCCTTGCACACCCCGGACGGTGCACAGGCAGAGGGACAGAGAACAGGCAGGAAGGGGCTTGCGTGACCTGGCCCGGGGGGCGCGGCGGGGCAGGTGCCCAGGGCCCGGCAGAGAAGGTGACACTGAGGTCAGAGCCTTGAGAACCGGCCGACCCGTGTCACCCTCCCGTCACAGGCCGGCCCGAAAACGGGTGCCAAGAATGTCGTGCATTCGAACCAGCATGCAGGAGAGCTGTTTGGGTCCAAGCTTTAATAAATGTGGCGCCGTGCCTGGGCCGTTTACCTCCCAGGGCGGGCGGAGGGCCCGACCCAGTAGACGTTTGTGTCGAAGTAACGAGCTGAGGAGCTGGAACGTCCAGACCACCGCGGGCCGTCGCGTCTGTCCGCCAGCGCCAGCCGTGCGGGGCGCCATGCGCTCCTGCCGCACGGGACAGGGCCTGGGGCCGACCGGGTCATGTGTCAGGGCCAGCCGGGCCCTGCTCCTCGGTGCCAGTCGTCGTGGGGCTGGCGAGGCGCTGGCAGACAGCGGGGGCAGCGTTCGTGAACCCCACGCCTGGCGCACACATACCAGAAGGTTCTATGTGTCTGTAACATACAGGATATAACAGAGGTGACACCACATGCTAGCCACGCACCACTTTCTGCACTGTGACGTCCATGGCCGCAGGTGCCCCAAGTGTCTGACCCAGAGTCCTGGCTTTCAAGTCATCAGGCAGGAAGACAGAGGAAGCCTTGTCACCCTCCTGCGTCAGTGGGCACGAAAGTAGGAAGCATATTTCATGTGGACATCGAGGTCCGTACAGACGTCACAGCAAACACTTCCAAGAGGAAGGTCCTGAGATGCAGGCAGAACGTGACTCGCTCCACGAAATCGACCGGCAGGTGTTACTGTG